CTGTGCCTATCTCTGTCATATAAATAAATAAAATCTTTAAAAAAAAAAAAAGTTAAAATGACTTAAACGTAAAACCATAAAACTCCTAGAAGAAAACATAGGGGGAAAAACTTCATGGCATTAGACTTGGAAGTAACTTCTTGGATAAGACACCAAAAGCATAGGCAACAAAAGCAAAATCAGACAAAAGACAAAATGAACACTGAAAAGACATGGGCAAAAGTGTTTTTGCACATCATATATCTGATAAAGGATCAATATTCACAATACATAAAACAACTACAACTCAACAAAAAAATCATATAACCTGATTTCAGACTTGGATAGATATTTCTGCAAAGATGATATACAAATATCCAACAACCGTATGAAAAGATGTTCAATTAACATCATTAATAAGAGAAATGCAAATCAAAACTACAATGAAGTAATGTATATAAATGTCCAATCACCATATTGCTTACATGAAACTAAAATAATATTGAACATGAACTACACGTCAATTTAAAAAAAATATCTCCTCACAACCCCATTAGGATGGCTACTATTTAAACACATACACATAAAATAACAAATGTTAGCAAAGATGTGGATACTGGAACCCTTGTGCACTGTTGGTGGGATTGTAAAGTGCAACCACTATGGAAAACAGTATGAAAGTTCCTAAAAATTGAAAATAGAACAACTATACGATCCAGCAGTCCCAATTCTGGCTATTTTAAGAATTGAAAGAAGGGTCTCTAAAAGATATTTGCACACTCATTGTAGCACTAATCACAATGGTCAAAGGAAGAAACTACTCATGTCTATCAACAGATGAATGGATAAACAAAATGTGGTATATACATAAAATGGAGTAATCACTTTTTTTTTTTTTTTAATAATCTCTACACCTAACATGGGGCTCCAACTCAAGATGAAGAGTCGCAAGTTCCACTGAATGAGCCACCCAGGTGCCCCAGTACTATTTGGCCTTTAAAAGTAAGGAAATCCTGTCACATACTACAACATGGATGAACCTTAAAGATATTATGGTAAGTGAAATAAGCCAGTTACAAAAAGCCAATACTATATAACTCCACTTACATGAGGTATCCAAAAGCAGTCAAATTCATAAAACAGGAAACAGACTGGTGGTTACCAGGGGCTGGGGGTAGGAAGAAGAGGGGAGTTGTTGTTTAATGGGTATAAAGTTTCAGATTTCCAAGACGAAAAAGTTCTGAAGATATGTTTCCCATCAATGGGAATGCACTTAATGCCAGAGAACTACACAAAAATAGTTAAAATAGTAAGCTTTATGTTGTTTTTTACATTAAAAAATGCAAATATATTGGGGTGCCTGGGTGGCTCAGTAGATGAAGGGTCTGCCTTCGGCTCAGGTCATGATCCCAGAGTCCTGGGACTGAGCCTGGCATCAGGCTCCCTGCTCAGCAGGGTGCCAGCTTCTCCCTCTCCCTCTGCTGCTCACCCTGCTTGTGCTCTCTTGCCTTCTCTTAAATAAATAAAATCTTTTTTAAAAATGCAAATACAAAAACTGATTTAAATGGCCAATTTTTGTTACAAATAATTTACAATTTTTTATTTATTTATTTTGCGGGGATGCAAAAAAGGTGGTTTTATTAAAGCACAGGGACAGGACCTGTGGGCAGAAAGAGCTGCCTTTACCACAATTTTTTAAAATTAATAAGGTAACAGAAAGCCCACTGAATTGTATGGTATGTGAATTGTATCTCAATAAAGCTGCTAAAAAAAAAAAAAAGCTGAGGAAATAGCTTACCTAAATCCTTAATTCCATGGCTTAGAAAGTGCAATTTGGAAAAAAAAAAAAAAGCAATTTGTTCCAAGTACCCTGAGCCCTGAGCAAAGGTGACTCTGCTCCTACTATGCTCCTACTTCCTCCAACGTCTTCACCAGGGCCGCCAAGTGACAACTCTTCTCCCCCTTTCCAAGGCATACCATCACCTTCTAACCTCCTCTCCCTCCTTAGGTCCACTCTCACAGGAAACTTCAACGGCAGTGGCAGTCATGGGAAGGGTGACAGAATTCAGAACTCACCACCAACATTTAGGAGAGCCCAAATCTTTATTAAAAAAAATATGTTTTTTTTTTCATGGTAGACACATGATAAATGTTAGGTCTCTGCCCTTCCTTTCCTTCTCTTCTTCCATCCCAGCATATGTTTAAAAGAACGACTTTTCTGGGGCACTTGGGTGGCTCAGTCAGTTAAGCATGCGGCTCTTGGGGTGATGATATTGAGCCCGGCATCCGGCTCCACGCTCCGAGTGGAGTCCGCTTGTCCCTCTCCCTGTTCCTCCCCCTGCCCACACACGAAGGTGTTCTCACTCTAAAATAAATAAGTAAAATCTTAAAAATAGACAAAAGAGCAACTTTTCTGTGCCTGTGCTGGACATCCACTGGCCCACCTCACATGTGCTGGAGCTATTAAATCCACAGCACCATTTAAAATATATTTGTTTAAAAAAATAATAAATTAACTGTGTTTGTTAAACCATGCCTATCATATACTATTAAATCTTAAAAACACATCACAAAACTGTGCGTAGAATAAAATTACTTTGGTAAAATAATAAACATTTGTCTAGTATAAAAAAAGGACAAGATAAAGACCTAATCACTTATGAGTGATGGGACTAAGGGTGAGTTTCTTCATTTCTTTTCTGTATTTTTTATAATGAATCTGTAGCTTCTGTAGTAAGAAAATTAAGTGGAAATCTTTAGAAAAATAAACACTCTGGCTCAAAATCTCACTGTCTGCCTCTTACACCACAGGCACTTTCACACATACTGCACTGAAGCTGAATTAGCACCCTAGGAGATAGACACTATTTCCTCCATTTTGCAGATGAGAATAAACTGAGGCTCAGAACAGTTAAGCGACTTGGTCAAGGTTGTATAGCTAACAACTGACAAAGCAAGAATCATCAGGCCTTTTAACTTCAATCCCAGGGCCCTCCCCATTTCAAACAGATGAATGGATAAACAAAATGTGGTATATACATAAAATGGAGTAATCACTTTTTTTTTTTTTTTTAATAATCTCTACACCTAACATGGGGCTCCAACTCAAGATGAAGAGTCGCAAGTTCCACTGAATGAGCCACCCAGGTGCCC